TTAAACCCCAGTGGACCTATTTACTATCTTTACTTAGAGTCAATATTCCATTTTTCTCTTTTGTGAAGGTGTCAGCTAAATATATGTACTGAGTATTTTGAATCTATTCTTGTTTTTATCTTTTAAGGTCCATGGAGCTTAGAGCTTCAGTCAGCCTTGAGATCAGAGATCTTTGATCTGTGATACAAACTTGACTTCCTTCCATTCCAAAAGTCCTTGAATGATTTTATATTTTACATTTGTGTGTGTGTGTGTGTGTGTGTGTGTGTGTGTGTGTGTGTGTGTGTAAGGCAGTGGAGGGGGCAGGCCTGTGTGTGGCAATCTAAGGACAATTTGGGGTGGTTGGTTCTTTTATCTACCTTGTGGGGTCTGGGATCAAACTTAAGTCATCAGTATTGGCTGAAAGTGCTTTTACCTACTGGGCCATTTTCCTGGTCTACTTTTGAGTCTTACAAGTGATTAGAGAGTTTATTTGACTTTTACAATGTGGTTAGAGTACTGTGTCTCCCAAGTGTTCCTGTTACCTCACAAGGTTATGTGGTATTTATCACCTTTCCATATACCAAGGTTCCAAGAGGACAATAGGAAAAATTTCTTTGAAGTGTTCTAGAGTGCACTTTGAGTCCTCCAAAATGTTTTCTTTTATTTCTCCGGATACTGCAGATTTTAAAGTGCCAGAATTTATTTCTTTGAACAGCAAATCAACATCATCTACTTGACGGCATACTTACATCTTTGAAAACTTTGCCTGGGTTAATTTTCTTATTCTTTCTTAGAACTGAGTAAAAACAATGAAAAAAATGGGCTAATCAAATTGGTAATGTATTAAAAATTTGGCTAATTTGGGGATGTGGGAGAGGGGTAGGTAAAATCAACACAGTCATTAATCACAATGTTGACAAATACAAATATCTATATATGCATAATGTTAAAAGAGAAAAGGAATAGCATCCTTCGGTAGGAATCTTGAAACATACTAATGCCATGAGTATATTGTCCAGTTTACTTGCCATTGCTACATGTGGTTACTGAGAGCTTAAAATGTAGCTGTATGAACTTTTCATGGAATTAATTTAGAATTAAATTTTGATAGCACATGGCTAGTGACAATCAGCTTGGAGAGTATGGGACACTGCTGTCACCCTAGAAATCTCACCTTCTCTGTCAGTAAATCCCATTCTGTTGCCACTGCCATCACAGGGAAACACCAGTTTTCCTTGTACTTGGATTCCATGTAAGTGGATTTGCACATTTGCCCTCAGCCTCTTTTGTTGAACATAATGATTCTGAGCTGTATTCATGTTGTTTCGTATGTCAATAGTCTTTCCAGCTGTTCAGTTGCACTACAGTGTGTGACTGTATCACAATTTGTTTATGCATCCTGTAGCTGGTAGACATCTCACGATTTGATTGTTTCCAGATATTTGGGTTTAATGGTGCAAATACTGTACTTGTTCTTAATTTAATTGAAGAGCTGTATGCATATATAAATTTTACTTTGGTCTTGAGCAGTAACAGTTGTCAATTCATGGTTTAATTATCATCTTTATGCACTGGGGTGAAAGTCTAATTTCAAGATATATACGAATAGACAGACTTCAGGATGGCTGAATAATCTGCTATTTGTAGTACTTAATGAAAACACAATTAGAAAGATGAATTGACCAAAGCAGTTATTTACTGCACTGTTTGCTAAATCGAAGCACACTTTCTCTGGGGTGCTCCAGAGGATAGTTAGACATGATGCCCAGCCTTGGTGCTGGAGAAGGACTACAAGCCACTGTGCAGTGTGTGAGTCACTTAGACCTCTGTCACCCCCTTGTCATTGTTGGTAATTATCACATATCCACAGAATTCCAGATCCAGAAAAGCCACCCAGTCATGTAGACTCACTAGCAGTTTGAACACTTTACACACTTAGTCAACACTAGCAGAAAGGAAACCTTCATTGCACACAGGGGAACAAGATGCTATTGTGTGCCTCCACTGAAGAGAACAGCCAGTCAAAGGAAGAGTTTAAAAGAGGTGTGATTTCTGCTTTAGAAAGGATTTGATACTGATTTACTGGTAAGCTGCAGCACACATTTTCAAAATTTCCTATTCAATTTTTTTTTAAAGCAACGCCATGGCATAACAGCATTTTATCTTTGCTTACACATTTTTCTTTTTTTTTCAAGCATTAATAATGAAGTTCTTTAGTAGTTCTTGAATATGCAGTAGGTGTCTAAAGGGAGACATATCCTAACAAATGATGTTGAAAAGGAAGTTTACCTTTAAGGATATGCTATAGCAATTTGTATAGACAGTGATGCCTTTTTCAAGTGTTTTAGACACAACTGTATTCAGCCATGTCTCTCCTAATCACTACAGCCCTAGAATGGAAACAAAGTTCAAAGGAAACAATGATTGAAATTCACATAAAAACTAATTGTGAATTGTGCAGACAGAACTGTATCTGCCTCATTTTTGGAATTCAGCAAAAAAAAAAAAAATGTATTGATAGTTTATTGAATTGTTAAGGAATGTAAGATACCTTTCTTATGCTCAGATTATATTTTTCATTATAAAAACAATAGTTGTGAAGCCTCTGCTGGGTCTTTCCAAAGACTCTCTTACAAGTTATTTCTGAAATATATGTATGATATATATGATGATACAATCACACAGCTTTAGAGATGACCTGAAGTGTTCTTGCCAAAACTATTGAGAAGCAAAAGAATTTGCTTAATGTATGTATATATGCATATATATGTACACACATATGTCTATATATACATAAGTGTATATACATGAATGATACAAACACATGATCAATATGTTTTGAATTCTACAGCTTGCTTTGTAACTAAATAACGCTGAAATTAAATTTTAACCTTACAATTAGAAGACATATCTCTAATTACCACAAAAGGAAAAATATCCTAACTTTGTAACAATTCATGTAAATAAAAGTATGCATCCTGACAATAGAAAAAGATGTTATAGAAGCTAGGAATAAAGCTTGAAACTGATGTTGCAATGTTCTAAGCGCAAAGGTCACACATTTCCTAAAGGACACTGCCTCAAAGTATCTATTTATACCCTGGAGACAGTTTTGCACAAGCTTCATTATGTGGTTTCCTTTCGTGAAGATTAAAAGCAGTAAATTAAAAGGGTGGGGAGGATAATAGAACTCTGATCACTGACAGCAATAAGAAGCAACAGCTGAGAGTGGGCAAACAGACAAACTAACAGACAATAGGGCTGCAGCAGCAAAGCAGTTCAGAGCCTTGTAGTGTCTGTCATCCAGGAGTCCTAACCAACATCATAGCGGAGACTTGATCTGTAAATGTTGCAAAAGGACTATTCTAAATCTGAAGAGTTTAACTGTTGTTAGTCACCACGGTGTCATTTTTGTCTACCACCACAGTGGGTTCGCCACTTTAACTTATAATCAAGACTACAAATCATTACGAATTTATCAAAGCCGTCAGTATTGCTCTTAAATCTATTATTTCAATATTTGGTTCCTAGAATGTCTTTACCTGGTCTTTCATGGCACAGAGAGGCAAGACAAAATGATAGCCTGTTTTCCCTAAAACGAGAATATTATGTATCCGATAGAACAGGTGTCAGGATTAAATGAGATAATGTATGTAAAACACTTAGCACAAGGTCTGGGGCACAGAGAAAGAGCTCAGTCTTATTTTAACAGTGAACTCATGCCGGTCCAAATCCCTTATTTGCAGGTGCAAAAATTAAGCTTCAAGAGGAGTACTGACTTCTTAAGGCTTTACTTCCAATATGTTATTGTCTTGGATAAGCTGCTTAGCTGCAAATGTTGGAGCTTTGGGGTATTGGCGAGCCCGGGGGCACGTGCCTGCTGGACTCCAGTGTGAGGAGAATTGGACGAATGTGCTTGAATCATGAGCTATTAGAAGCTGTGCCTTATCAACCGGAGTTTGAGGTACCAGGTTGTGTGTTAATCGTGTTCTTCATGGACGGAAGCCATTCCAGTCTCACAAACGGCCAGAAACAGCTCAAGACCCTTAGCGAGCCTAGGCTGGTCAGAAAAACGGACACCAGCCCGTAACTCGATGGGGGAAGGTTGAGCATCTTAAGGACTACCCAAGGGTCTCCCTGGAAGGTCTAGCCCACGCCAGCGTGGACCCTCATCCCCGGGAAGCACACATCGCCTTTTCATTAGCACTTGCCCCGGGCCCCGCAGGGTGCTAACTTTGCCTCTCGGATCCGCAGGGAGGGCTCCGCCGCGCCGAACCCAGCCGCACGGGCCACGGTTCGCGCGCCCAGGCTCTCGCTCCCTAAGATGGCGGCGAAAGCACCGCTCACGCCCCGCCGCCCGCGCTCCCGGAGCAGCGGCCTCCGGAGGCGCAAGAGGGCGAGCGCGCGGACGGTGGAGAGGAGAGCACGGCCGGGGCTCTGGCGGCCAGCGCCGGCTGCAGAGAGTCCGGGAAAGGGATCACCCGCGAGGCACAAACGGCCGGGGAACACCAGCACCACCGGCGACCATGGAGGGGGGGGAATCTGGGGGTGGGGGAGAGAAGGGGCGGAGCGCAGCACATCCGGGCCCTTCTCAGGGCCCGCCCCGGAAATGACGATGCTCGGGGGCGGAGCCCGCTCTTCAAAGTGGGTCTGCCCCCGCAGTAGCGCGCGCCTCTCGGAGTCGGGGCCGTCGTCGCTCCCCCTCCCCGGCCTCGCGCTTTCCCTCTCGGGGCTGCGGGCTTCTGGGCACAGAGCTGGCTGCAGAGCCTGGCAGGGCTCGTTCCCCGGGAAGTAGCCCTGGCCTCTAGACCCTCGGCTCCGCCCCCTTCCCCCCCGGCTTCCCGGCGTCCGCAGTAGCGTCCCTCCAGCCTGACTCGCCCTGACCCCGGGCCCGCCAAGTCTAAGCGCACCTCGGGGAACCGACGTCGGAATCCCGAGCGCAGTCCCCGCCCGGGCTCCGAGCTGTCAGTCACGGCGCCGAACCCGCTTCTTCCGGCGCGCTCGGTCCCGCCCTCTCCCCTCCTCCCTCCCCCGCCCCTCCCCGCGCGAGTGTCTCCCTCTCCCTCGCTCCCTCTCTCTCTCCCTCTCTCTCTCTTTTGTGAGTTATAGCAACCGTTGCCTTGTGAATCAAGCGCCATAGTCACCGTAGTCCTGGCGACTGTTACCCATCAACAACAACTACTCCTCTCCTCCTCCTCTTCCTCCTCCTCCTCCCCACCACCACCATCTCCATCACCCACCAACAACACCACAATAATCCACAGCCAAGGTGAATATTCTTCGGTCTCTACATGTGTGTGGGAGCGTGTGGGTCCGTGCGTGTGTTCGTGTGTGCGAGCGAGCGTGGCTGTTGCGGGGTCTCCCTCCTGACACCGGCTGCGGCCGCTCGAGGGGCTCGGTCCCCGGGGCTTGTTTACAATGGACCCGCGCGCGGCGGGCTCGGGGGTGTGGGCGCCGCGCGCCTGCCCGCCCGGCCGGCCTCGGCGCTCTGGGATGGAGCGGGAGCCGGGGTTGCGGGGCGAGCGAGCGGGCTAGGCTAGGGATCCGCCGCTGTCCGTCGCGGGTGTTGGAGCGTCCTCCCCCCCAGGTCTGCGGGCACTCCGGAGGAGGGGCAGGTGGAGAGAAGGGGCTTGCTTTCTCCCTCTCTCTTTCTTTAATTCGCTGCTTTGCAAAGCTGCCTGGTGGCTGCTGCTGTCCAAATCGAAATAGACAGCAGTGAGCGGGGAGGGGGGGACCCCGAAAGGTGCTGTGCTGCTGTTGTTGTTGTTCACTTGCGGGGCCTTGTTGGGGGGTTTTGTTATTTTTATCCTCGTAGCTCGGTGAACTTTTCCCGGAGCCCGCTCCCTTCGTTTCGGCCCCTCTTTCCCTGCCGCGAAACGGGCTGCACTTATTTGACCATCACTGGCCTCATGGGATTCCTTTTTTCTTTTAAAACTGTATTTTTCTTTGTGCTGCAAACAGTCTTAATATCCATTCAGCAGTCTTCCCTCCCCCCTCCCCCTTTTGCACACACATTGAAACCAGGGGCCTCTGCTGCTCTGAGAGATTTTTTTTTTAAGTCTCTCTTTTCTCTCTCCTCTTCCCTCTTCTTTCTCTCTGTCTCTCTTTTTCTGTCTTTCTCCCCGTTCCCCCTCCTTTTCGGTGTGTGTGTGTGTGTGTGCGTGTGTGTGTGTGTGTGTGTGTGTGTGTTTGTGTGCGTGTGCGCGCGCGCTTGTGATTTAAACCGGATGCAGGGCATCTGTGATACTTGGGTTGGTGGTTCCTGACAGCGCTTTATCCTTCATGTGGAGATGGGAGGGGTAGTCCTGAGGTTCTGTTTCACTTTGATGCACCTCCCTCCCCACAGGAGAGTGTTAACAATTTTCATTGTGGTTTTGAGACTTTGTCTGTGATGAACAGGAAAAGGACACAAGGAAGCTTTGTGAGAACTGAGTTCACAACGCTATTTGTGACAGTTATGATACTTTGAGAGTTTTTTTTTTTTTCCTCCCATCTTCATCTCTGTTCCTTTCCCTTGGAGAGTTGAAATTGAAGTCAAGTTGTTCATAAAGAATGTATGAAGCTTCTCAACTTGAAACGTGTGTATATTTCACTTTCTTTGTGGCTGTTAAGATCTGGGCATGTGTGTACTTAACATATTCTTTTTGTTGACTTTCTGGTTTTCTTTGGATTTAACTGCTTATAAGAAAATACTTCTAAAGTATTTCTTTGGAGAAAATAGTCGCCCCTTATAGATTTGAATACTTAACAGTTCTGAAATAGTATATTCTTGATTGGAGCTAACCGGGTTTTACAGACCCTTTAATTTTGCTCATTTTAAGCCTAACAATTGATAGGTTATCAACAGCAAAACATTGATGATGATTGTGAGCTAAAACCAATAAATTGTACTACTATAGTTGCACATATGAAATTTCCAATTCAGATTTTAAAGTGCTTATTTAAATAATCTTTTTAACAGCAAACATTTATTGATTTAACTGACAGAGCAGCCTGTGAATAATGTGACAGTATTAATTATTCTTGAGATTGTCAATGAAGAGGTTGGGTAATTATAATGCCATTAAGGCTAATATTTTGTAACATAAGAGTTGGGGGATTGCAAAAAAAAAATAATAAACTTACCTTTTAATTCATTTCCGTATGCTTGTTATTTTAAATGAAGGTGATATTTGATTCTGAAAGAAGTCTGTTTGGATCTCTCAATAGCTACTCATCCCTTCTCCAACCTGTCTTTGGTGCACATCTCAAATACTAACTTGTATTTTTTCCCTTTCCTTTCCTTTCCTTTCTTTTTTCCTGTCCCTTTTATCCTCTCTGTTCAGATGAGTGTCAAATGCCTGAACATTTTTGGGTGGTGAAGCAACTGGGTCTGAACTTAAAAAGAGTTTTGCTGTCTTGGGACAGTTTTAGATCTTATGCCATTTATATAAGTTTTGGCTGAAAAGCTAAAATCTCTTTGCTTGATAGTTTTATTTGCAGTGTCCAAAATGTTTCAGATACTTATCACTCATCATGTCTGTATCAGGTTTTCCCAAATTTAGTGTTTTGTTTTTTATTCGTTCACAAGTTGATTTGAAAGTGAATGTAACATTGGGTTATATTAAATAGCCTATCCATTTGAAACAAATCTTTGTGTTCTAAGAGTTAATATTAGAGGTAATTTGGCTTCTGATAAGATAAAATTAGTTTTATGGATTGATTAACATTATAATAATTGATCTTTAAAATTAAATACAAAGTTAAATACCATTTAGTTCATTTTCTTTTTTTTCTTATTTTTCCTAGGAGGGACTATACTATGCATTGACATTCTTTGTTTTCAGTTCTGTAGACTAACAAATCTGGGAAAGTGACCTATTTTGAAATGAAATGTATTAAATAGTATCATTTTGAGTAGTAGCTGGATATTTGTGATTCAGAGTGAGCCTTGATGCCTATCTCAGTCTTTTTGAATTGCACCTTGTCTGTTGTACTATTCTATTAAATTGTATAGGGATAGGCATAGTAAATTTATATATGTATAATAATGAATTAATGCATTCCTAGAAGGTTTTGATCATTTCACATTGCTTTCTTTGGCATGAGGTATTTAAGCTTAGTTTGTAAAATCCTGTATTTTTAATCCAATATTAAAATAATCTTGTATTCTGTGGAGGTACTCACAGGGTTTATAGTTTATAAATGAGATAGTGAGATATTCTTTAACTTACCCAGACAATCTTTAAAACCACCACCACCACCAACAACAACAACAAAACAAAACCAAAAAAAAAAAAAAAAAAAAAAAAAAAAAACCCTCTAAGTTAATTGTGGACTCCTCTCCTCCCCTTTTTTAAACAACTGAAAAGTAAAAATTTTCAGGATGGATCATAGTATCAGATATGTGGGAAGATTTAATTTTTCTTTCTGAAAAAATAGCAGTGTGATTTTGTGATTCTCATAGAGACAATATATTACAATAAATGAGAATAAGGAACACGCCAAGTTTCACATTATGAAGTTTGCTAATTTGTTTTTATGCTGAGCATTTCACTAAATATCCTTTACTCACTTTCAGTTACATTAAAAATAGTTTCCCTTACTGAGGTATTTTACCTTAGCTCTTTAACTCTTTAGGTAGGTATACATTACCAGTTGTCATCACAAAATAGATTTTAAATTCCTTTCTGTTCACAGGTGCATAGTGTTCCCCCATTTTGGAAAACCCAGATTAAATGGACTTGACTAAATTTAACCTGTTAGAGACAGATGGCTATTTTAAACAGGTGTCATTCTTTCTTTTTCCTGCATTGTTTGGAACTTGCAGTGGGTCACAGAGGGCTGTCTAAAGCAGGTGGCATCATGTTGAGTTTGTTATATTTTAGTTAATTATTTTCACAAGGAGGGGTTCTTTTTGTATGTAAAAGTTGAGCACTAGCAATCTTTGAAGTGCTCCATGTTTGTTTCTGAACTCACTAGCTTTTATTTGTGAATATCTCTGTAGTTTCAAACTGTAGAAATTGTAGATTTGCAAAAAGATGTTTTGATCTTTTTTGATCCTTATAATGATAAACTGACTTTGAATTGAGAAGAAAATGTCTAACAACAGTTTATATATTCAAGTTAAATTTATCTACAGCAAAAATAGGTGGATTTGAGTAAAATGAAATTTAGCTTACATAACCACTAATATTTTTCCATTCCCTACTTCAAGAGTTTTATTGATAGCATTATTTTAGTTTAAGTTATATATTGGAAAATGTATTATTTTGGTTGGTTCAGTATTTTAAAATTAAAACAAGTTTTCTGACTATTGCTATAATTTTATAGTGATATTTTAAAAATGAAAATTGTTTTTGTTTAAACATATTAAGTATATGTACCCAAATAATTAGAAGGTATCACTCATCCTATTGATTCTCTAAGGTTTATTTTTGATTTATGATTTTATCCTTTTTTGTGTGGGAATTTTATATATCTTATAATGGATACACCAGAGGGTGCTGTGCTGTTTGCAATATAAGATTATTTTCACTAAAATGTAAATTGATTAGAACAGTTGTGTAAAGAAAAATTTTAGCCTCTTACGAATTTAAGCATCTGGCTTACTTCTTTGGTAACCTGTCTATACAGAGAGAGTATGTATGTGTAACACTGTAACATATCACAGTCCAGTAATGAGCTATGTGCCTGAGAGCATGGCCTCAACACAGACTAAGCACTTAGTCTTATAGTTGTGTACATTGGTCATATTATGAGGGTATTTCACTCTTACATCCTGGAACTGTAGTTACCAATGGTTGTGAATGTGTTTACTAGGAACAAAAGCTGTGTTCTTTACAAAAGCAACAAGTAAGTGCTCTTATTCCTACCCTGAGGTTTTTTTTTTTTTTTAAGTGTCATTTTCCAATCTCTTGAGTGGCTTCTTCCCTTATGGATTATACTTTTACACAGTTTATACTCAGTTGCACTCTTTAAAACCATAGTATTTTCTTCAAGAAAGCTTGGGAAAGTATAGTTACATTGTACAAACTTCAGTTTGGGTAATGATGTACTATTTTCCCAACTCTGCTATAGTATTTAAATGTGATATTTTTGAAAAATAACTATTAAACTGTAACAGTTTGTGTACAGGGACACCTTACTTCCAGAATTTCAGAAGAGAGTAGTAGCATTGTCTCCTCACATGGGTCTCACTACAATAATTTAGTAATTTTTCTTTCAACTACAGTATTTTAGTCATTTTCCTTTGCACGTTGTCATTTTATGCCATTGAGGTTTTAAATA